TGTGGTCAGGCCATATTTGGAGTATTGTGTGCAATTTTGGGCCCATATCTCAGGAAGGATGTACTGGCCCTGGAGCGTATTCAGAGGAGGTTCACAAGAATGGTCCCAGGAATGGAAAGCTTAACATATGAGAAACATTTGAGGACTCTGGGACTATACTCATTGGAGTTTGGAAGGATGAGGGGGGATCTAATTGAAACTTAGAATACTGAATTGCCTGGACAAAATGGATGTTGGGAAGATGCTTCCATTGGTAGGAGAGTCTAGGACCTGCGGGCAGAGCCTTCGAGTAAAGGGAAGACCTTTTAGAACAGAGATAAGGAGAAACTTCTTCAGCCAGAGAGTGGTGAATCTATGGAATTCACTGCCACAGAAGGCTGTGGAGGCCAGGTCATTGAGTACATTTAAGACTGAGATAGACAGGTTCTTGATTATCAAGGGTTACAGGGAGAAAGCGGGAGAATGGGGTTGAGGAACTTATCAGCCATGATTGAATGGCGGAGCAGACTCAGTGGGCCAAATGGCCTGATTTCTGCTCCTATGTCTTATGGTCTTCTGACCCAGTTCAAATGACTGCTCAAGAAGATAACTGCCAGTTTTTCTTTTATTCCCTCCTTCAGATAGAAGTAAGCAGCATCTTTGACTCCAATAGCTTTGAGTAATCTGATACCTGAAACAGTCAGGTTCCATGGTACTCTGCTTGAGTAATGTTGAGACTTGGAAAGAATGTTTAACCCGTGAGAGAAATGTATTAACGCATTTGTTTTATTAATTTCGAGTTTTTTTCCATGAAGCATTGTTAATTGATTTTGCTGTCCTATGTTAGGATCTAATTTAAACTGGTTTACTTGATGCACTGGTTTTAATTGGCAACAAATTGATAGCTAATTGATTACTTAAGTAGTCATTATTGTTGGGTGATTTTAATTGTTCATTAATTAGAAAAGAGAAAGTCAGGGGCCACCTTGTAGCTCAGTGGTAGCATCCCCACCCTTGGACCCAGAAGCCCGTGTTCAAGTCCCACCAGCTCCAGAGGTGTGTAACAACATCTCTGAACAGGTTAAATTGGAAAAACAGATTGAATTTTTTAAAAAGACACAAATTCAAAGTGGGCCACGTTTTAAGAATGCGTGTCCAGGACTGCTTGTTTTCACAATGAAGAGCATTGTTTGATTTTAGTTCTGGGAGATTTTGTTTACAGAACAATTAGAACTTAGTACTCAACAATGGATTGCTAATAAAATAGGAAAGCATAGTCACAGCTTGTCCTCCAGAAACCACAATCAGGTGCTGTTATTGTCAGGAATGCTCAACTATAGATCACTAAGAACAACCAGAGTGCCTAAACCACCTTCTGTCGACATTCAGCCACATTACCATCAACAACTGGGTGTCACCATTAACCAAAAACAACTAAACCAGACACATTTGACTAGAACACCAGATCCATTAGAATTCTGCACTGAGTAAATTTACATTTTGATTGCCCAAAAGCTCTTCCACCAAATATAAGATATGCTTTGGGAATGTGGTAGAATACTAATTTCCCTGGATGAATATTACTGCAACAACACTTAAAGCTCAGTGTCATCCACAACAAAGCAGCCTGCTTGTTTAGGACCCAACTACTTCTTTAAATATTCACTGCCTCCACAACCAATGTGTACCACCTATATGACACACTGCAGTTAGTCATCAAGGCTGCTTTAATTGCACCTTCCATGTCCAAGGCCTCTACCTAGAAGGTCCAAGGTAGCAGGCACCTGGGAATGCCATGACCTGCTCATTCCCCTCATCAGCAACGCACCTTCCTAACTTGGAACTAAATTGCCAGTGCTGCTCTGTTGGGTAAATCTCCCTTCCAAACAACACTGTGGGTGTATCTGTAACTAATGGACTGCAGTGATAGTCAGATCACTGGCCTTTCCTCAGGTGACATTAAGGAATGACAGTAAAGATGGCATTGCCAGCAGCACACTTGTCCCATTGACTTTTTTAAATTGCAGGATTGATATAGAATTCCTACAGCGTGGAAACAGGCCCTTCAGCCCAACAAGTCCACACCGAACCTCAGCGCATCCCACCCAGACCCATTCCCCATGACCCACCTAAGCTACACATCCCTAAACACTATGGGCAATTTTAGCATGGCCAATCCACCTAGCCTGCACATCTTTGGACTGTGGGAGGAAACTGGAGCACCCGGAGGAAACCCACACAGACACGGAGAATGTGCAAACTCCACACAGACAGTTGCCTGAGGGTGGAATCGAGCCCAGTTCCCTGGCACTGTGAGGCAGCAGTGCTAACCACTGAGCCATTGTGCTGCCCCTAATGATTAATGATGTGATTAGTAAAGTTTGACTTGATCTCAAAAACATAGGCTCCTTTATATAGTGACTCAACATTACTGCTAAAGAGGAGCTGGATAATCTGTGAGCCAGCCACCTGTGTACACCAGCATTCACTCATTTCAAAGTATTGGAATATTCAGTAGGATTATCAGTGCTCTAACTCCCACTAGTAGGTGTAGGCATTTTCCAAATAATGTCAGCCCATGTAAATTCTGAAATACTGTGCTTATTGCATGGCACATCTGCGTCTAATCACCGTGGGTTCTTGTTCTGATGTCAGCACCAGAATTATTTCTTAGTATCAAAGTACTGATGCATCTCAACATCTGTGTTCTTATAGCCAACATGGGGCAAGAGCGAAAATTAAGTTCACAAATCTGTTTAAAAAGAAATCGCAAAGAGAATAATTTTAACAATGTGACTTGCAGAACAGTTTTTTAAAAAAATACTGGATATGAGTACAATGCAGATGGTTGGACTAGTGATCTGAGGAAAGGGGGTTTAAACTTATGGAATTTAAAGATAATGAGATGCTACTGTGGTGCTTTTGATTACTGTTACTATAAAAATACATTTCAATAATTTGTTAAGCCTCCTCCTAACTCAAATTGCTCCATTCAGTTTTTAATGTATTATTGCATTGTCTGAAGGTGTAATTAAAGCTGTAAATCTGCAGCATTTAGACACTGGCCTTGATGTGATGGATGAGCTAGATTTTCATTGAACAAATTTCAGTGCACGTATTTTGCGCAATGGAACTAAACACTGTTCCAAATGACATGTAGTAGTGTAAATGGACTGCTCGATGAGGTACCGAGCTGTATTCAAAGTTCCTGGTTTGATTTATTTTTGTACTGATTCCACTTAGCATGGCCAGACCATTCAGGCAATGTGTCCGAGGCAGTTGTAGAACTGGCCCCCAACATTAATCACTGCCTAAGGAAAAAGGGAGGAAATGAAAAGCGTTAGAATTAAAGGAAACTTAGTGAATACCAGTCCAGTAAAGCGGCTGTTTCCCAGAGCTTGACTGTTACTCTGTTACTTCAGAGAACTACAGTAGCTCAGTGATTAGCACTACTGCCTCACAGTGCCAGGGACCAATTCTAGCCGTGGGTGACTGTATGGAGTTTGCATGTTCTCCCCATGTCTGCGTGGGTTTCCTGCCATAGTCCAAAGATGTGTAGGTTAGGTGGATTAACCATGGTAAATGTGGGGCTATGGGGATAGAGTGGGGAAGCTGAGTCTTGGCAGGGGGGGAATGTTCTTCGAAGGGTTGGTGCAGACTTGATGGACCGACTGGCCTCTTTCCATACTGTAGGGATTCTGTGATTCTATACTTGTGTCGCCTGGGGGTTGCTAATATCTCACTTGCAGCTGTTTGTGGGCTGATTACATTTTAAGAGGGTGAATAGTCCAACTCACTATTGAACACAGCACCTTGCAATGGACTCTGCCTGCTTACTTTGAAAAAGCATTCCAGAATGGTGGTGTCAGCAAGGTTCAGTGCTCTATATTAATGCCAAGAAAATAAAATAGCTCGCCTCAGACTTTCTACATCGGTTGCTTTCAGCCTGTTTGAAACGAATTGCTTCAAGTTCTTGTGCTTTCACTGACAGTGGAGTAACACTAGTGCTAAATATGGCCAGTCAAATCCATCATCTGATTGCTGTGTCTGAGACCCTTCATGGACTAAACGTTTTTACAAAAGAAAGAAAATTGGGCATAAAATAGCTGCAGTGGTCACCTGGTCACAAATTGAGGCAAGCTTTGAGAGACCCATGTGCAATAAACAAAGCCGTCTGCACTCACCATTTTTATATAAAGATATCAAAACCAAACTTTTGAGTCAGTGTCAAGAATTGTCATCTGTTTTAATTGACAATTTATTATGATTTTTATATACTGGGGATTAAACAGCTTACCTGCCAATTAACTAACATGGAAAGGCAATGAAGCTAGACTTGGGGATACGCACTGAACTATATTTTGACAGCTATTTTTGAGGGTAGAGAGAAGAAAAAAATGTGTTTCCCTGTGTCTGTCTTTCATCTTGGAAGACTACTGCCTGGTTGTAAAACCAAATTGGGAAGCCAACCATTCACCGAGAACTCAAATCTACAAATTGTGCTGCTGTTGAGGATTCACATCAACAGTTAACTAAATGTAGACCCAAGTTGAGAATCTGATACCACGAAGATTCTATTTTATAACTGAGTAACTTTTGTTCTCCCTTTCTGTACCGGGCTTATTCCATTTTAACCTTACTATCTGTGCTTGTGTTTGGTTTTATTTTGGTTTGTTTGGTTAGTAGGTAATAAAATTGCTTTTTTTCACTCAAGAAATCCTTGAGAATTGGCTCCTTTGTTTTCTAGAAAACAATGTTTCACTTAAAGTGTGATAGCTATGTGCTAAAAAGAAACAAAATATTATTTGTGACCAAGCAAAAGGAGCACTAAAGAAAATCTGCAGCAAAATGAACAAAAGCAGGGAATAAAAATCTGATTGTAAAATGCCTACAGAGAATGCTAATATCAGCTTTTTAAATTGACATTAGTTGAGTTTCACTTTTATTGTCCATATGGCTGGTCTAATATGACACCACATACATTCTTGGTAACCTGTATGTTTGTTCTTCCTGTCCTGCAGGCTGCAGCATATGCCTCTGAAGATGGTGTTCTGACTGAGGCAATGATCGATTCCAGGGTGACCGATGCGATTCGGCAACACAAGCAGAAAATGGAATGGCTGAAGAATGAGGGCAGGGAGAAGACTAAAGATGTAGAGCATCTTGTGCCAACCTTTCCAGAAGGCACACTGGTCTGAGTGTCAATCAGAACAACGACTGTACCCTGCAACTGAGCTAAGAACCCTGGAATTGAACTGAACTGCACCAACGTAAAAACATGCTTGAATATGCACTTTGCACTCTTAAGGGGTATTCATCAATGATTGTCCAGTGATATGAACAGCTTTACACATGAGTTCAACCCAGACAGCAGTCAGTTGATTCTCTGTTGGACCTCCAGCTCGCACTCAGCAGATTGTCTGTACATTTTGTAACCGGTAGAAAGCAGCTTGTTAATGAGAGGAGATGTGAAGTGGCATTTCTGTCAGTCTCCGTCTGTCACATCAGCCGTAACATACGTGTCCTGTCATTAACAGGATATTCACTGTTTAGCCTGACCTGGGAAGAGCATGTGATGGTGAACTCTGTGCAATCAAGTATCCATGTGGAGGAAATGTTTTGCGTTTCTGTGGTGTGTTTTGGTTCTGGGTTGCTGTCAGCACTGGGCGTGATCTATAATCTACAGTTGGATTCATCATGTTTGAGACCGAATCCCTTGTTGTCCACCTACCTCAAATATACTTCTGGAAATGAACATTTTCACTCATCTTTCAATAGCGATACCTACAGATTCACTGCCAGGTTACAGTTGTGGTAAAAGTAATTATTGGTTCACAGCTCAGAGGATCACTGAACTGAGTTTTACTGTGAGAAATTGAAACTGCCATTTAATAGTCACTGAACTTCTCAAATAAAGAGGAGTGAGGGCTATCTAGAAAGTCCCAACTCCTTCTGCATTGTTAAGTATAATCCCATACAGTTGTACCATGTTAATGTCATCTGTATAGAATTAAATTAGGCTGATGGCTGAGCCCTTTACATCTGTCCTGTTCATCTCTTCGCCAGTGACCCCACTGAATATCTCATTATGGAATTCTTGTAGGTGGGATTGGGGAGAGATGGCCTTCTTACTTAACCCATTGCACAAACACCAGAACTAAAATCTGAGATTTTTGACAGTAAAACTTGAATAAATTAAACACTAATTTAATGTATCCCATTTCTATCCCAATTCGTTTTAAAAACAGTTATTTTGCAGAAATTTATTTCTATTAAGTGCATTGCTTTCTTTCAAAGTAAAAATTGCAGTCATGCCTCAAAATTCAAATATTCTGTGCACTGACCCAACAGCAGTACTGGTTGCATTGGTTTAGATCTAATTTCCAATGATTTTTACATGGAATAACATGGCCCATAACAACAAGAGGTCTCCTTACTTATTTCTATACCTAAGCCTTGCCCAAAAATTCTCATTCACCCTCTTTCATGTGTCTCTAAACTTAATCTAGTTCATACTGGCTAATTAGTCCCCTTCAATCAGAGAAAGCTTTTGTGATTGCTAACGCCAGTACTAAAGTTGAATGAGGAAAGTCATGTCTTTGTCTCCCTTATAAAGTGAACTTGTACTTTGTCAAAACCTAAAAGCAAGCAGTGAAAGGGCACCTTTAAGATCAATTAAGGGTGGGTAACAAATTTTGGCCTTGCCAGCACTGCTCACTTCCTAGGAACAATGAAAAGCACAGCTATTGTAGTATTTGATCTCCAACTTTACATTTGTGCTATCCACGAGAGTAAGGAAAACATAAAAGGAGAGAACATCAAGACATTCTTCCCAGGCACTTGCAAATAAAAAACAGATGCTTTGTGTGTGCCAAACTATTGACATAAAACAAGAGTATTAATTTCAAATCCGAGAACTCTGTCCTGATGGACCAATAGTTATAGTCCATGGCAAGAGTTGCATGCAGCTGGTACAGATGGGTAGGGGTGTGAAATAGGCAGTGGTTTCCACACTTCCACCCCCATGTCCCTTTGGTTTTCAGTGATGACTGCTGCATTATATTTGTGTATATTGAGCCACAGGCAAAAAGCCTGCTTTGGAATTTGGCTTGTTAATTATTCAATATTGTTCATGATTCTGGTTTCCCTCAAAAAAAAGTCTGAACCCTCTACAGATGTATGGCCCAAATGAGGATTGGCAGCTAGGAGTGTCTATTATGGCCAAGAAAAATCAAATACAGTTTTAGTCATTATGTATAGGTCCTTCGTCTGTCTGCCTGGAATGTTCAGAGTCTCTTCCACAGAGTAGCTACAGAAGTTGAATTGCTCTTAACTGTGAGTGAACTTCATTGAAGTACCAAAATGAGAGTAGCAAGAGTACCTTAAAATATGTTTGGGCAAGGAGGCCAAGTGGGGTTTCTGGTCTGTCATATATATTGAGTAAAACACGAATTGTTGAAATGATTCTGGTGATTTTAGAGTCTGGAAAGCTTGTATTTCCTCATGTACATTGATTTATAAAGTGAACAATTTTTTTAAACATACCATACCATAATATTCCAAACATGGAATGATTTTGATTTGATAAATCCTTTTTTATTGGATTAAATATGTAAATCCTGCTTTATCTAATAAAACAAAAGATAAGCTATTAGAATCAGACACATAGAAAATGGTTTACTTTTGTGAGAAAAGATGAGTTGGTTCTTACTGAAAAGATTCTTGTCACCACTCACAATATTATTAGGTATGGGATCTTTCTTAACTTTGAATGCAGAGGGTTAGATACAGTCGGTTGGGTGGGGCAACGCAAGTTCTCAGACTGCATCTGCTGGTGGTGACCTTAGTTTCATCACCAAATATAATTACATTAGATTTTAATGACTAATTTCTTACAGTGGGCCAACTCTCCTTAGAACTGACTTGGTACCAAGCTCTTAGCATTTAGTACCAAGGACAAGGCATTTCATCCAATAACGTGAGATGCTGTCATGTCAAAATCTAGAGTATCCAATCCCTTATGGCTCAATTACTAGCCTGTGTAAATACAGTTACAACATAGTTATGTTGAAGTAGCCCTTCCCCAAGGGAATCTAAGGCTGTTATTGTTGGTGCTTCATAACTGCAGTCTCCAGTCAGTTCATGGCATGGTTGCCTGTTTCTGTGGCTACAACAATGAAACGATGAACCTGCCATGGCACCTGCAACTTATGGTGAAGCTTTGTTCAGTTTCTCTCACTCAAAATTGTCTTAACATTTATTTCGTGGAATGACTAATGCTGGTCTGATTCTGGGAGGAAGTGGTGTTGCCATTGAAGATCATCTAAACCTCAAAATCAATACTTGCCTGAAAAGTATCATTCCCATATGCCCACCTGTGGGGTGAAGGAAAGTGACAGACCCCTAATTGAAATTTCTCAATAACCTGAGCTCAAGGGCCAATGGATAAGTAAATTTTAGCCAGTTGGCTCTGAATTAGTCTTTGTATCCACCTAAAGAATGGAGAAAATATCCATGGACACATGATGTGCTGTGCAGGGAGCCACTATGTAAAGGTGCCCACTGTCTGAATTTGCTGAAAGCATTGCCATTCAACCCCAAAATTAACAGTAGTCTACATTTATAGTTTCTAATTTTTGGAGGGGTGTAAGTCCCAAGTTTTAAAACAGAGCTATGGAGGTGAGTAGTTATTACACATTACATGGTCTTCAAGAATATGGAGAAAGGAAGGTGGAAGGAATTAGGGATGGCATAGAAAAGAATTGGGCAGGAGGCTGGATGCTGTGCCAACAATAGCAATGCAAAGGGAGGGTAGAACCCACTGGATTTGAGAAGATTGCAGAAAGATGGTGGTATGAAGCTGTGAAGCTTCAGATAAAAATTAGAATTCTAAATGCATTGGGGTGGAATAAATGCAAATATCAGGTGATTTGCAAGCATTTTAATTTGATTGGATATGGGTGCTAAAGTTTGACAGCAGAGGTGTGATGGTGAGTCTGCAATGAGGATGGTAATGAAATCCCTCACGTTTTCTCAAAGCTCCCCCTTCAGAATTATGGGACGTCCCAAAGAATGGTGCAGCTATTTAAACTACAGTCAATGTTACACGGACAAATTTGTGCAACTTCAGTCTCCAGAAAGTGGAATAAATCTGTAAGAACGCAGGTGGTAAATGCAGTGAAGTAAGAAAGCAGTCTGGGTTGGACAAGATAACGTGGGTTGAAATGGGCTAATTCCGTCTGAGTGGACATGAAGGGTTAGAAATCAATAAAGGGAGGAGAACCTGAGCCTGAAAACAATGATTTCAGCTTTAGTGATGTACAGTTAAGGGAAATTTTCAGACAGCAAAGAGGGGGAAAATGCCTTTTGGGGAATTAATATGGTCAACAAATAACAAATTGGAATCTGGAGGTGGAGAATAAGGGAGCAGGAAGTAATAGGTGTGGATAAATGAAAACTAGCGTGACAAGAGGCACGGGAGATATAAAGAGTAGGAAAGGAGAGCAATCAAGGGAAAAATGGAAGACGGCAGCGGACACCTGCATGCTATCACAATCTTAGAGATGAAGTTTATCAACGCTTCTCCAGAGGACAGAGATCTGGAGATAGTTTATTGTGCAGTAAAGGAGCTGTGGATTATTCTTGCCTTCTAGGATTTCCTGTAATAATAGATTTGAATAGGAAACAGTGACCATAAAGATTAGCTAATATACTTGACTAGGAGCATTTGACAGAGAGATAACGTCCTCAGGAAAATTGCAACTGCTGTGCTGATTAGGGGACTGTGGAGAGTGGGAATCTTGTGCAATGTAATCAAGTTCAGGAAAAAAAAATAGGAATTAGGAGACTGGCTGGAAAAATTTAAATTGAGGAGATTGTGAGGCAAGATATTGTACTGTGGCCTTTGATTTTAATTACTAAAAATGGAGCTGTTTAAACAATGTCTGTCATAAGGATCTCTTGAAACATCAGTATCAGTTGGTGGTGGTATTTTAATGTGTCGCTGTGATTGGCAGAAACCTACAGAGTGGATTATGTTCTTGGCAATGACTGAACATTGAAGGTTCCAATCAATGTAAGATTAATTAACAAGGCTAATCAACTGCATCTCAAGGGCATTTGGTTTTAAGTCAAAGCCACTGGTTATAAATCAAAGTCAATTACTAAATATGATTTGTTGATTTTAATGTGGATGCTATTTTGTGCACAGTTTCAAAAGAAGTTTGATTCATGGGAGATTCAGGCAACAGTTATAATTCAACCACTTAAAATGCAAAGTTATAATAAAAAAGCTCCTAAATTTTTGTATTCTGCTTACCATCAACTTCTAGAGGACAGCTGGGAAAGGGTGATAATAAAGCTGGCTTTCAGTGACATAACTGATCTTTGAACCAGTTTTTTTTTTTAAAAAAGCCATGAACAACTTAATTTAACCTTTAAAAACATTAAAATATTTTGGTAGTTTGACCAGAGGTCTTCGTACATAACTAGCTCCCTTTAAAGAATTTCAGAAACTCCTATGCCCACATATAGAATAATTTTTCATTTAAGTAGGTAACATTGTTCTTTAAAAAAGGAGCTGAAGGAGGTTCTATGGATTCAGAGCATAAAACTGAAGTAAAAAGATGAGGCAGGAGAATAAAAGATCACCATGAAGGTAAACAGTAAAGCTTTTATAAGTGCAGTAATAATGATAATAAAGACTGATACTTGAGAGTGAGGACACGGTGGAAATTCTTACAATAACCTGCATTTCCATAATACATTTAATGCAGGGAAATATCCCAACCAGCTTCACAGGACAAAGAGCAATTAGCCAAATGCGGCTTTACAATTCCCACCAATTAAAGTGATCACTTTTTGTGGTTTCAGAGGGGGCAGAGAAGTAGCAGGTACAGTTCAATGTAATAAATCATTAAAGAAAGAACAGTGTAAGTATACACCAATGACAGAGGTTTTAAAAATAGGTTTACAAATGTAAATTCCAAACAAAGCAAATAAGATTCTTGGTTTTACATTTTGGGACATTGAATATAAAACTGAAGAAGTGATGCATGCAGAATGATTGGAGTATTGTACACAGTTTTTTGTGCAGCATTATGGAAACAATATTAAAGTCATAGAAGAGTAATATTAGAAAAGAGATGTCATACTTTTTAAGCCTTTCTTCACAATTATTTTCTACTGTAATTGAGTAGACACCTAATTGCATTTTTCAGAACTGAGTTGTTATACAAATGAAATTGTTTCCACTGATTAGCAAATTCTTAACAATAACAAAATTATCACCAGAAGAATGAAGAGGAATGTAAGACATGGGGTTATTGGAATATGAAATGCACTTAAGATATTGACACAGATCAGCACTTAACACAGAATTTGTAAAGGGCAGAGGAAGGGAATAACAGTTAAAAGTTTATCAGTGGCACAGGCATGAGAAGTTAATTGATGTAGATTCCTGCAATTTGTGTGATTCAAATCATCTGAATTGATAAAGTCGGATGAACAGTAACATGGCTCCCTTAGCACTTAACCACCAATCCTTTGGGATATAGCTCATACTCTGAATACATGGTTATTGAGACACCATGAGTTAAATAGCCTACGTAATATAACTAAGGCTTTTGAGAGACACCAATGAAAAAACTGAAAGTGATGCTGCACATTTTTATGAATCTTGATTGTTTAAACATTCTAATGAAGCTGAACAATGATCCTCAGTGCTCTACAAGATGCCAGAACACTTTTACAACAGTTTGCCTTTCACACTCTCAATTAAAGGTCACAAATAGATGTAGCTGTCGTTCTTTCTTGCTCAGGAATAATTGCCCCTTGCTGCATTCTGTGATTTAAATGGATTTGGATCTATCATGGTTTAATTACTCCACTGAGATTAAAATAAAACAACCAGGGTTGTAAAACCTTGCAGTTGGGATTATTCCCACTGCTGTAATAATTATAACTTGCATTTCTATTTATAAGTAAAACTTCACACATCTGAGTCGTACAGACCAGATGGGCTCAGCGAGGGTTCCTCAGTGTCCTTGAATTAAGGATGAGAAATTTAGTGCCTACTCCTCATCACTATCCAGTGATTCTGCCTGGAATCTGTGTGTGTGTGCGTGTACGCGCTTGGCAGGTGATGACAAGATCAGTCTCGGTGAATACCTGCTGACACTCGCTGGCTCAGCTCACACATCAAGAATGGCCACTTGGGTGAAGCACCAGACACCGAATCTTCAGGAGAAATGGAAGGGAAAGAAATTTGGCTTAATAGAATATTTACATACAGGGGAACTTTCAATTGGTTGATCCATTTACAGAGTTCATTTATAGAGGGTGACTCACTTCTACCCAACAGCACTGTACAGGAGCTGGTTGTTGTCTGATTGATCTCTTGTTCACTGTTTATTTACATTCTTTCATCTTAGTTGAAAATATAGTTTGAAGTTCAAACTAATTTTAAAATGGCAACCTTTGGAATTTTGTGCAGTTCATTCACTTAATTGTAAAATATTAATATTGCTTAATAAGGGAAATGTACTGAGTTTCATGAAGCTTCTTTAATTAAAAGTCTCCTTTGAAACTCAGTATATTTTCTTCATTCAGCAAAATGAATCTTTCAAATTAAAGGCCAGGGATAATGCCTGGTGC